GAAAATCAACTCACAATGGATTAAAGATCTAAATGTAAGACCTAAAACTGTAAAATTCCTAAAAGAAAATAGAGAAAGAAGTTCCTTGACATTGACAATCATTTTTTAATATTTTTTAATCGTTTTTTCAATATTACACAAAAAGCTCAGGCAACAAAAACAAAATTAAATATGTTGGACTATAAGACTCTTTGATTTTAAAATTATCAAGTGATGGTGTTGGTACTATGAAATTCACTATGAAGAAGAAGATAAGACATAACCAGGAAAAGATTCCAAGTCATGCTGCTCTTGGGGAAAAAAAAGAGAGATCCTAGAGAGAATGTTGAAGAAATGTGAATCCAAAGAAAGTAAAGGAAGGAAGGAGCAGGTGCTATGAGAAGGTCAGTGCCTCAGACAGCGCACAACACTCTGTGTTTATCTAATATGCAAAAGTTAATAAAATCTTGTGTTGGCAGGATTCCTTGAGACTTTTTGAATTCCCAGAATGACTCTCAATGTTTTCTGTCATATGAGTGTGGGTATAGAGTTGTCAATTATTCTTTATCTCTAAAATTAATATGATGCTTAATAGCTACTAATTACTCTTAATCGAGGCTATTGTTGCTCTACTATGTTTCAGAACACACATTCAGTTCTTATCCCTATGATTCTAAAGCTTAGGCACTCCTCCATAATGGCCTTTTCCAATCTTATATGAATATTGAGCCCCTCCCTAGTCTTTGAAATTCCTTGAAAACTGGACAAAACCAACACAATTTTCTACCTGCTGACTGTCTAGAGCTCTGGGCTGTGGTTGTAGATGTGACCTTTACATCAGGCCTCTTATGCTACATAAGCCACCCGAGTGAGGCTGGAAGAACATATTTCTCTTGACATTCTGCCATAGCACAAGCAGCAATATCTCAGGACCACTGGGTATTAACTAGAAACTACATGCCAGGCATGTGATCACTGCCCTCAAGGAGAACATTTCTCTGGAGTGACACAGGTGTATAAACAGAAAATTCTGATAGATGTGATGAGTCCTACATTTCGCATAAGCACAAGGGGACATTGAGACTTTGAACAACTCTCAGGGACATTAGACAAGCTCCCTTGAGGGGGTGATTTCTAATCTCAAAAGAAAAAGCATGATAAGTATTTGTCTACACATTTCATCCTGATTTTTATGTACCGCTGCCAATTAAAGGTAAGGTTATCAGGTTCAACCTGGGCTGGACAGAGAAAGAGAGGGCAAGCCCACCTTAGAGGAACACGGTGCTAGTCCAGGTGTCTTCTGTACATAGGGATCGGCTTGGAAGTACAAGGATCCCACCTCACATGAACAGTCTCTATTCTCTTGGGAGATCAGGACTTGAGTCCTGATGAATGCTGTTCAGTGGCTTGCATTATTATTTTTAGCCTTACTCAAGATTCCTCCTAACTTAGTCTACCTTAATCTTAGTCTACCTCTGGGCCTGGAAGTTTTTAGATTTTTAGACTGCTGTTTACGCCAAATGGTATGGACTGTGATTTGGGCAAAATATTTTAATGAAAAATTATTCCTGAGTACTTACGACGGACCAAGAACACTGCTGTGTGCTGGAGATCCAGTGTACCTAAAGTAACAATGTTTTCCTCTGTAACTCAAAAGTCTGGATGGGGCAACAAACATAAGGGGAAAATGGTGTAATGCAGTTGCCATGATAGAAGTGGGCCTAGGGAGGGGTGAGGTAAAAAATAGGGAGAGGTCGTTTATTTGTACAAAAGACTTTCAGTTTCACCACCCACAATAATTGCTAAAGAAAAGTTGACATTTAAGCTCTGCATTGGAATTTCATGGTAACCAGGCAGGTAAGGTGTTGAAAGACATTTCAGACAAAAAGAGCTGTTATACTTCCCTCTGTGTAACTGAGATGAAAAAAAGAAAGAATTACTCAAATAATATGAATAAGGCCTGGAAGGACTGCAGCCCATCAGGGGAACAGCAGCCCTGATTCAAAATCAGCCTTTCTTTTTATTGACAAGACAAGGAAGTTTCACAAGAAAAATCAGTAGATTCAGCCATCAAAGAAGGACATAAAAACAGGCAGTGTTACAGAAGTAAATTATGGCTAAGTATAGCTTTAAACAACTGAAACTAGTAACAGCAGTAAAATTAACAATGTGACATTCCAGAATGCCATTTGTAAATAGCTAAGTCAATCCATCAAACAAACAGCTTGTCCTTAGCAAACATCTTCTTTTCCACATACTTCCCTACAGCATTTCCTTAGCATATTTAAACATCATTCGAGCAGTTTCCTTAGCATATCTTAAGAACAATCAGTAGGTTAGACAGTCAATAGTCCTTCAAGCTGGAATCAAACCAGTGACCTAAAATAGTCAAAGTACACAATCCCCTCCCTAAACAGTGATTAGAGTTGATTAGAGATGGCTTTTGCCAAACTTATCTGTGGACTATTGCCCCCTACTCGACGAGGACTATAGCCCCATCCATGCATTTACCTAAAAATCCTATTCTAAGATCAAAGGAGAATCAAGATTTCTAACACCTCAACAAAGGGCAACTAGAAAGATTAATTTCAGGGCAGGAACTAATAATGTATGTTGAGGTCAGAGAGTTGCAGGTACCTGGAATAACAGGAGCTGGGTTAAAAGGAGGGTTCTGAGAGTGTGGGCAGAGAGGAAGTCAGACACCAGCTCTTGGGAGTCCTGGCATGATGGTTCCTAGCAGTGAGCAGCACTCCTGGAGAAGGAGGAAGGAAGACAAACAGGGAGGGGTTAGTTCAAGATTAGTGGGTTGCAGGGAAGGTGTGGCCCACAGAAAAGTGGGCAGGAGGACTGAGAGTAGGTAAGGAGCAGTTGGAGCAGTGGATCATGGGTCAAGCTGCACAGAGTTGGCTGCAGGGGGCTGAAAAGAGAGAAAATGAAAAGGGCCAGTGACTATGGGTCCGTGAGTGTGAAGAAAAGGTGGAATGAGAATAAGGGAATGAAAAAAGGGAGAAGAAAAGCAGTGAATAGAGACTGGGATTTGGAGGTGAAAACTTCACATAAGTCCTGAGTGATGACAAGGTGCACAATATGGTCAGAAAAGGATGCTCCTGATGAGGAGAGGAAGAGATGGTCAGGGAATTGAGGTTCCAAGGACAGTATAAGTAGGAAGCACACCAGTCATCCACGTGGACAAATAACTTACCTTAGTGCACTTCCTCCTGGTGGGCTGGAAAGAGAATTTTTCAGACACTTGCCTGATTCCTCTACACACCGTGTCTGCCCAAGTAAGAGGTTTGAGGGAGACAGTGACTAGGAAGTTAGGAGGGACACGAACACATGATGTGAACCTCAAGAAAGGGTGCTGCTGGGGACATGGTCTGCAGGTGGCACTGGGGATGAGGTGAATGTTGATGCTGTCTCGTGACCCCCACAGACAGACCCACGTCTCTGGATAGGGCCAGCATCCTGCTAAGGTGGCCCTGTGTCCTGCTTGTTTTTGCTTCCTCAGCCCCTAGCACAGGGCCTGGCCTGCAGGAGACTGTTGATATGACTTGCCTCATTCATGGGGAAGATAGAGAGGGTGAAATTTATGACCACATGAGCTCTTCTTCTCAGCACTTAATGTCATTTCCACTAGTGCTGCCTGGTCTCCTTAATAGGTTCCCTATAAGTTGCCTAAACTCACAGACTACCTTGAGCTCTTTTTTTTTTTTTTTTTTTTTTTTTTTTTAGTTTATTTTATTTATTGAATCAAACTTGATTATACATATTTTGGGGTTGAACATTGAGATATGTTGATCAAATCAATATTACTAGCATATATTTTGTTATAAATGGTAATTATTCTTTATGCCCCTTGTCCAATCACTCCCCTTCCCCCATTCCCTCCCCCTCCCCACTCTAATTACCCTAGATTTCTTCTCTCCTTCTGAAAGAATAATGGTTACTCTGTTAATTTGTTGCCTAGATGATCTGTCCAATGCTGAGAGGTGTGATCAGGTCCCCCAGTATTATCACAGAGCAGATGCTTCTGTCACTCTGAAATGGGCTTTGTGGAAAGAGACATCCTCTTCTTTTCTTTGTCTCTGCTGGTGACTCTCCTTGTGTGAATGCACTCCAGTGGTTGGCAGACCATCTGCGTGGTGGCTGTGGTGTCTAGCCGCTTTCACAGCAGCCGTGGTTATTGTGGAGGCTGCGATGGGCCACCCACATGGAGGTGCTGCTTTTGGTATGTTCCTTGGCACTGGCAGTATGCCTGGTTGTGGGGTGTGTCTGGTCCCCTTCTCCATGCCTCAGGTCACCGAGCGAGACCCAAGGAGCTGGCTTGGTGTGCCTGGTTGGGGGAGGGAGGTCCAGTCCCCTTCCCTTGAGCTCTTTAAAAGCTGAGACATTCATCACCCTCTGGGTAGGGATCAGCCCAGCCTCAAGGTGAAATGCTCTCACTTCCACAGGGCCATCACACAGGCACATTCACACAAGGCCACAGCACAGGGACAAGGACACAGCCCCAGAAACCTAGGCCAAAGGACAAGGAACCCAGTGCTAAGGATGTCACCAAGCCCCATTCACAGCAATGAGTTCTCCTGAGCCCTGATGCCCTCCAAAGAGGCCCTATTTAAGTGGAGTCTGTCTGCTCTGCGCCCTGGAGGAAGAGCTAGGACAGAAGCAGGTGGACATGAGCACAGTGAGAGACATCGGCTCCTTCTCAGTGCAGTATTTAAGTAACCCTGATGCATCCCTTTGTCAAAGAAAAGCATCTCTGTGACTTTGCAGGAGGTGTTGCACCAGACTCCGCTTGGAACCGACCCTGTTGGCTGCACTTCGGGAGCTGGAGCAGGAGGAGCAGAGGTGGACACTAGGTCCTTTGAGAGGTGGCTCAGTTTTGCTGGATGCCACAGGGACGGACCTGCTATCACATTCTGGGTGAATCCATCCAGGGGAAATACTCCAATTAAGTTAACCAAGAATTGGTAAATTTAACAAAATAGGAAACAAGAGAAGAAGGACACAAGGCAAGTAACTGGTGGGAGGAGACACTTTATTGTTTTGGGGTCTCTGGAGGCTCCTGGGCTGGGCCGGGATCACTGGCTGTCCCCGGAACAGAGCTCCGCTCCGTGGCTGTGTTTGTGGTAGTCCGTGGCTATGTCCCCCAGCAAGGACAGCCACTCAGAAAACTCAATCTTATCATCCTTATTCTTGTCCTTATTCTCAAAGACGTTGGCCAAGTAATCTCTGCCCTTTTTGTCCTGTGAGGAGAGAAACAGAGGAACAAAAAATTCCAGTCACACCCAAGTCATGGGCTGAGAGGGGAGAGGAGAGGCAGAGACCCAGAGACCACGGGCTCGGGCTGCTCAGGTGGGGCTGGCGGGGCTGTGGCTGGGCGGGACGTGGTAAAGACGGGCTGGGGCGTTAGTGCGCCCCCTGGAGTTGGTTAAGGAGACTCCTGGGCTCAAAGGTCAGCGCGAATGACAGAGCTCCTCTGCCCGGAGATGCTCTGGTAAATGAGCTATGGGGAGGTCCCCAGCCCTGCACTCCTTGTCCCCAGCCTCTAAGGGCACTGCGTCCCCTACATCTACCCCAGGGATTCTAAATTATCCCTAACCCCTTGCTCTCTTTATTCTCTAACATTTCTTTCTTTCCTTCTCTCTTTCCACCCAAACTTCTCTGTTCTGGATTCTCGTCCACCTAGACTCTATGTTACCAAGTAACCCACATTTTGGGGGGTTACTAATGAGCATGTCAGTTGTAACGGATAGTGTTAATTTTTACTAATGATGGAAGTTCTAGTGCCTTACCTCTAAAATCAAGGGTGTTGATGGGAAGCATTCAGGAGGAAGGGTCTGAACAAATGGGGCTGAGTCTCCTGGACAGAGTATCCGTGTCAGCTATGAGGGGACCCCTCACTACTCTCAAGCTGCAGCACTTTGGTGACCACCTAGTAGCAGCCCTGTGTAAGTCGTTATAACTCTGATAATGACCGTGTATAACTCTTTATCATTTTTGCATTTTTTAAATATCACTTCTTTATACCCCCTGGAAATGTAACCCTATGATCCCCTTTTTCCAAATGAGAAAATTAAGAAGCAGAGAGTGAAAGTGACTCATCCAAGGTCACACAGCAAAATGTGTCCTCAGCCATGCCAGGGCCCAACCTCCACGGGGCAGCCGGACCCCGACTCACACAGGCGCTGAGGAAGTTGGGGAAGTTCTTCTTCAGCATCTCCAGCAGTCTCGGCTTGTCAATCATGTCATCACGCCCGGTGTATTCGTGAAACAGGTCGATCAAGCCCATCATGGTCTTCTCAGACTGAGTGGTGCTCATCTTTGCTTTCAGGAAAGCTGCAGGGAAGACAGTGACCTTTCCTTTACTTTCCCCCTCATGAGGGACACCAGGTGAGGCCAATGGATGGGGGCTGAGGCGTGAGTGAGCTTAGCACAGGGCTAGGCTGGGGCAGAGGAACTCGAGTTTCTCTGTGTGGTGAAATAAAAGGTCCCCAGAAGGGGAGGACAGGGCCAGGTCTGGGGCCTGGGCCCTCACAGTCCAGGGAGAAGAGGAGGGGCAGGTGGCAGCAGGTGTAGAGCTGTGGGTAGCACCGACAGGATGTCTAAGCAGGGAGAGTCGGGGTGAACCACAGAGGTGGGACCTCCAGCCACAGCCAGATTCCACAGACCCCTCCTCAAACAACATCAAATGCATGCCTTCAGTTTCACAGTGGGGGTTTTAGAGTCACAAGGCCGGACATTGTCCTTAGTGAGGTCTCTGGCCATTCAGGGCTGCATCAGGAACAAGCCACCCTGGGGGCCCTGCCTGGACTCTAGTGCCAGCTCTGCATGAAATGTGTGTGGGGTTGCAGGCGAGAGTGTGAGCAGAGAACACAGCCCTGTGCTGAGCATGGGGGAGGTCTTCCTGGACCACCTCGGGAGTGAGAAAGAGGGACTGGTGACCACAGTCGGCCTCAGATTTGAAATGGACACAAACAACTGCCCTGGCTCGTAAGCTGTTGGGATGGGTGCAGTGTGTGTTCCCTGGATAGCCTGTTCCTGAAGATTACCAGCCCCGTGTTCTTCTTATTTCTCTGGTTCACCAAGGCTTGACTCTAGATAAAGACACTGTCTGATTTCCCAAGGCAAATTCTCCTGTCAACAGTCAGAGCCTGGGCTGGACTGGACCCCAAGCCAGAGAAACTGACAGTGCAGCTCTCGCATCCTAGACTTTTCAAAGCATCAGGAATCGACTTCAGCTTACCCATGTGGGCATCTGATAAGAAACCACCTTTACCTCCTGGTGTAAGAGAAGGCTCCATGCTGGTAAGTCACTAACAGGAGCTGCCCAGGGCCTTTAGGAAGCTGAAGCCAAGGCCAGGGTCTGAGCCATGTACCCAGAGGCAAACTGAGAATTTTCAGAGATGCGGTTGGAAGCAGGGATATGTGGCTGATCGGTAGCTTGCCCAGGGAGGGGCAGGTCTTCTCAACAGGACTGTGGGAATCCCAGGTCTGGGGGTTACGAGAGCCTTCAAAGCAATCACAGGAAACCCTTAGCCCTCTACTCTCTGTGGGGTGGGGAGAGGACTAAGCAGCCTGTAGTCAGACAGGAGGGTGAATCCAGAGAGGAAGAAGCCAAGGACAGAAGGCAGGATGTGTCCTCAGCTCCCATTGGGGATGTTTCCACAGGAGTTGTCACAGAAGAGACCAAAGCAGCCATGGGGAGGGTCTGGTCCAGTCACATGCTGTAGACATGAGGACTCCCAGTCTCATAGTGAAGGTCTGATGGTGGCAGAGCTGTGAGTACACCCAAGCTCCTGAGTCCTGGCCCCAGCGCTGTCCCTCCTGCAGGCAGCAGAGAGCTGGGCTCTGGGCACTTTTCCTAGAAAAGGCAAAGTGGCAGGTGCAGACTTACCAGAACTGAGGAAGTGTCACGAAGGAGAAGGACAAGTGAGATGTGTGTGTCTGCACAGGGAGCAGTCCCTTTATAAGGCTCAGCCTGGCTCTTCCCAGGGGCTGGGAGCCCTGGGGCCGTGCATGCCATCTGCTTCCTGGAACCTGCCCCAATTCTGGTGGGTGGGACACACCTAGGAGGCTGTGCTCAGCATTTTGAGTCAGAGTACCAGGTCACCAGGTACTGCACCTCCCAAGAGACCTCTCCTGGAGCTCTCTCCTGTCCCATCCTCAATCTGGAGCAGGGGGCAGCTCATGGATATGTCAGTATAGGACAGGGAATGGGCGATAGAACACTGGGATTCTGAATCCAAAGAGGATGGAATTTCACACTCTGGAAGGCAGCATGATCATCTTTGTTCATGCATTTATCTTCCTATCAACTTGTTCTGACAGCTATTACCACCACTACACACTGAGCGTTTTAATGTGCCGGACATCAAGATACCTACTTCACCTGCATTTTCCCTTTAATATTTACAACCCTATTAGTTAGGAGCTATTATCCCCATTTTAACAAAGGGGAAATTGAGGTACTAAGAGACTCAGTCACCCCAGTTTATATAGCTACTAAACAGTGAAGTCAGGAAAAGACCTGGGGACAGCATAATTCAAATCCTCACTCCTATCCCCCCTGTTAATACTCTTGGGTCACATCATGGTCTGTGCTCCAGGAACTCAAAGACCTGGGAGGGAAGGAGGGTCACTTCACTGCCATCTTCAGATCAGATCCTCACAGAGGCCCAGGGTGTGGAGGGGGTCTGGTGTCATGACCTACAGTGACAGTCCAGGAGACCCAGAGAGCGTGGAGGTCAGAGCAAACTCACCAGCTGGTGAGGGCAGACCCGGGTCAGACCCCCGAGTCCTGACATTCATCCTCACTCTGGAACCTCATGTAAGAACCCCAGGAGGAGCCTCACACACCCTGGCCCCACTGTCTAGATTGGGTGTTGGAGTTACCCCCATGGAGTGGGCTTGGAGGCAGGGGTTAGGCAAAGTTCCCTCCCGACCCATGATGGTGACTTCCAACCAAGGCTTTAATGTGTTTCCTCTTTGCTCTTTGCAAAACAGTCTCTCTGTGTAGGAGGTGGTGGCCATGCCCTTGGCTCTGATGTGTCCCAACCTGCTGCAGAAAAGCTGGCTGGATGTTATTGCCAGCATCCTGGGGGCCTCTGGGGACAGCCCCACTGACTCACTGAGGCGTAAACTCCTGCGGTAGAGTGAGGAAACCGGGTTTAGACTTGGGCGACCACATGACCTGCCCCACACTGACCCCAGTAGGCCCTCTCCTCATAGACCCTCCTTGCCCCAGCCTGGCCTCCCGATCCCATTGAAGTGCACACTTCCCCAGACCAGCCCCAACTGATTCACTCATTTAATCCATTCTCAGCCCACTGAGAAGCCTCCAGTGAGGAACACACAGTAACTTGGTGAGCACGATGCCCTAGGTAGGGAAACTAGTAACAAATGGTTGGAGAGAAAGAGAGTCTTTATTTCCACTTAAGTCCTTTGTAGCTTTTGGATTTTGTATCATTTCCACATACATAAAAATAGTTTTTTTAATTTTTATATTTATAATTTTTTTGTCCAATTTTTTTACCTCAGGTTTGGAAGCTGAGTTATTCATAATTCTGAACTCCTAATTTTAAACATCAGTGACCTGATGCAAAATCTCTCTCTTGTTTTATTTTATTGGTTTATATTCATTTTTGTCTGCTTTCTTTTACTCAATATTAAATTTGTAAGCCTTATGTTACATTGTGTTCTCTGTGTTTTCATCGTTTTATGATATTCCTTTGTATAAATTTGACCATATTTTTAATATTCTTCTTCAGATATCATATGTGGTTCATTTTTTTCTGGTTTCATTTCTGAGTGGTTTCCTGTTCTCATAACCAGCCACTCTGATCTGTGACCTCATGTTCCCTGAGGTATTAGCCACCTATCTGGTGACGTGTGCTGGAAGGGTTCACACCAGTTATGTGTCAGAACTGGGCTGTTTAGGGAATGAGGAGGAGATGAGCCTTAGGACACAGAGCCCAAGCCCCAGGAAACACCTTCAGGTCAATCCTGTTTGCTGCCACATGCATCAGACTTTGCAACCACCATCACCAGCCAAGTCACATCCCATCACACAGCCATAAGGCCCATATGGAATCTTCAATTCCTTAGCCAAATAGGCCATTGGCACCTTCGGTAACACATCCAGGTCAATTCTGCCTTGGAACGACCCCTAAGCTTTTGCTCTTGGGCTCCTCTCTCATCTTATTCCTGTGGCCTCTGGGATCTGAGCTTTCCTCAGTCATTTGAGCTGAGACCTGGACCCATGCATTCAATCTACAACATTTAATAAGATGTAAAGCACTCACTTCACTTTATGTTAAAGATATGACAGTGCAGGAAAAAAATAAAAAATAATTTTTAAAAAAACTCATCTCGGGCCAGCCCGTGGCTCACTCGGTAGAGTGAGTGCTGATAACACTAAGGCCACATAAGGCCCATATGGAATCTTCAATTCCTTAGCCAAATAGGCCATTGGCACCTTCGGTAACACATCCAGGTCAATTCTGCCTTGGAACGACCCCTAAGCTTTTGCTCTTGGGCTCCTCTCTCATCTTATTCCTGTGGCCTCTGGGATCTGAGCTTTCCTCAGTCATTTGAGCTGAGACCTGGACCCATGCATTCAATCTACAACATTTAATAAGACATAAAGCACTCACTTTGCTTTATGTTGAAGATATGACAGTGCAGGAAAAAAATAAAAAATAATTTTTTTAAAAAAACTCATCTCACCTCAAGATGCTCACATTTTAGAAGAGAAGACAAATATGTAATAAAATGGAAACTGTAGATGCTGAGAGATGCACAAAGGCAATGTAGACCCCAAGAGGAGGGCAGCAGCTTCTTCAGTGAGGAGAGATGGACAGAGGAAAACCTCCTGAGACGTGGCGTTTCAATGAATGTTGATACCTAGTGACCATCAGGCTAACCAGGCAGGGAAGGGATTCCAGACAACAGCTTGTGAGCAAATGTCCAAGGACAGAAGAACATGTCATGTCAGGACTGAAACAATTTTGGTAAAAGCAATGTTAGTGCTAAGGGGTTTGGAGAGATGGTAAAAGCAATGTTAGTGCTAAGGGGTTTGGAGAGATAGGCTTGGGACAGGCACTGATAGTGGCCTACCCCATACCCAACCCCACCTCTGAGCAAACTGACCCCCAGTTCTGCCCTGGTGTCAGACTGTCCAGGGCCAGGATGTGGGTCCTGCTCAATCTGAGCAACTCTTGACAGCCCCCACCTGCTTTCTCTGCCTCTCTTGCAACTAAGACTGACCACAAGCCCCACTCAGCTCCAGCCAGTGAAAACGAGTTCTGCTGGGTGAGGCCCCTGGGACCCTGCTTTCCT